TTTTTTTGTCTTGATTTGGATGGGTAGACAGGTAAACAATACTATAAAACCCTAAATCGTTTCCCTTCATGGATCAGATTTCATTGCCTCACTAACCGAAACAAACCACTGTGGCAAATAACACTCACTACTTAACAGAACTTAAGAATTTTGTGGAAGCTATACGTGAAACTTCTAGACAAAAGCCAAGTTATCCTCTTGCATTTGTATCAAGGCTTTATCTTCAGCCTACTTATCACTACTGATATGTCTCTGTAGACAACTAAAGTGACCGCTCTACTGAAAGAATTTCAAATTGAGCATCAATACACTTTAATCCTCAATATGAGAATTTTTCTCAAGTTCACGGTCCACGTAAGCATTTCATGAGATAATTTATTCTACATTTAGATAAAGCTAGGAACACTGGAATGTTAAGTACAGTTTAAATATATAAGGCAGTGTAAGGACATTTCAAGTTTTGAAGGTTTACAAATCCAGGTTGCACGAATTTTCTTCTGAAATGATAGAAACCACTCATTCAATTATAAAAATGAAGAACTTTTCTGAAATCACTTCTATGATACTGAAACCTTTGAGACTAGATACCATCAAAATATTAATACCGCCACTTTGTTGAATGCTACATAGAACCAAAAGACCCAGTGGCAAAAGTAAACAAAACCAAGAACATCAACAAGATAAACTCCATCAACTGTGAAAATTAGTGATGACCAAAGTGAAGGTCCCCTTTGTCTTCCCGTCCGAGAACAAAACTAACGACCAGAAGAAATGACATGTAAACCTTTCGTAACAGAGCATGTGGACCACCTAAATTGGGAAGATATAGAAATTTTAAAGTGCAAAAATACTCAGGAGTTCCTCACCTAGTACTCAGACCTACCTGGACTCAATATACGTGTTGACATAGATCAAGCTTGTCAATGAATAAAGAACAATTAAAGTGACAAGTAGGTCAAATACTAATTTGAAGAAACGATCAGTAGTCCAACACGTGGGCAGGAAGATGAGAAAATCTCAGAAGAAAACCATCCACAGTCAAGGCCATTAAGAGATACGATTAAGTCATTCAGGGAGAATCTTGAAAGCCCAAAGCATTGGAAAACCACCTGGGAGTACTGGACAGCATTTTCGTCTTGGTTCGGGATTCTTCATCAGTATACCCCAACCAGGGTTTGAACATTGATTATTAGATTTCCCTCTTTTTTCTCATCCCCCTGCCTCATTTCTCACTTTGAAATGCACATAAATTGATGATAACTTACACTAAAAATCTGTAATGTTTGCATTTTAGATGCGTTAATTTTATAACACTTTCTCCGCTATCATTCGAACACCGAACATTGTCGTCCTTTCTTTTATTACTATTGTAATTTCAGGTGGGGGTCAGCAGCTGATGGAAACCTATGGAATAAGAATGGTGTCATTTTATACCGTAGATTTGGTCTCTTTTGCTTTATCGAAATTTATCAAGGAAACCATATGTATGAAACAACAATGGAATTCAAGCAACAGACTGTTCCTCGAAACAATGCAATCAATAAAAGAAGGATTTTAGGTATAACAGCTGATCTTCAGTTAACTCCCACTAAAGATAACAAGGTCATACTAGACACTTCATTGTAAACAGAATATTTAAATTAACTTTACTGCTTACTCATGAGTAGCATAGCTCTATAAATTTATATTTCAAATCACCGAAAATACTCATTAAATCGTGCAGCAAATAAGAGACAATTCAGCAAAGAAAATTTTCCTTATCGACAAAATCATCTTCAGAGGCTGTACAGTCGTATTTATATTTACCAAAAATGCATAGTAGTTGAGTACTGAATAAAAGGGGTAACATAATTGATATAATTACTTAGAAGTAGCTTCAAAAGTAAAAATAAGAGTTATAAATTACGTCTTACTCAACGGCACAAAGGAAGAAAGAGTTCGAAATTTGATAAGGTTAAAATTGTTATTGACTGAGAAGGTAGTTGAGTGTCTATTTAACAAGAGTGAAGAGGGTGAGAAAACATGCGAAAGAAACATGCAAGAGTGATAATAGTGAATTAATTATTAAAGTAAATGCAGAGAGAACAAAGGATGCACTGGATACAGAACCCTGCCACCCACCGGAACAAACTCGATTCAAGAAAGGTGAATCATTAGCTGATCAAATTGCAGCTCTACACATCACCATCACAGAACAAAGCATAGAATGGCAGTTAAACCTCACTCCACCTCATCTTCATCAACTTTGAAAAGGCCTTCATCAGTGCAGCGTTGACCGAGAAGTAATTTGGAAACTACTTCAACACTACTGTGTGCAACGCTCAAGTCTTTATCAACCTCATTTAACAGCTGACTACATGACAGTGCCATGTGTAAGGTGAACCACAACGAAAAACTCAGTGAGGTGTTCGAAGTGCATACAGGAGTAAGACAAGGCAGCCCGCCTATTATCACCAGTGATATTCTTAATTGTGGTGGACTGGATTGTGCGTCAGACTGTGAGGAGTGAGAAGACAGGAATACACTGGATCACCAATAAGAAGACTCTGTATCTCGTAGATGACATATGTCTAATGTCAAACCAACTCGAAGACTTGCAGGCAAAAACCAACAAACTGACAGAAGAAGTGGGCAACGAAGATAGCATTCCAGGTGAACATAGAGAAGACGCAGGAAATGAAGATAACCAACGAACCGCAACAACAACAACAACCAGAAACAATCACCACCAACGGGAGAGATTTAATAGAGGTTACCTCCTTCACTTATACAGCCAAGAAGCATCGTTTCAACCACACGTGACACCACGCATGAAGATGTCAAAGCTAGCCAACCAGCCAGCCAGAATCGGAAAGACAAGCAAGATATGCTTTCATCAACCTGAAACCAGTTTGGAAATCTTCTACACCCACTCAGCCAGCATGAAGAACAAGATTCGCATTCTGTTCAACACAAATGTGAAGTCAATCAGTGCTTCTATACAGGTCAGAAAATTGCACTGCGTGTCACTTACGAAAAGCATTTTCAACAGCTAACTGCATACTTTCATCAACAGCTTCCCGCTTCACTGGCTGGCTCTACAACGAAGATCAGACGGGTGACCGGTGAGAAAGAATTAGTAAGAAGAAACTCTGGTTGAGAACAAACCAACAAGCAAGAGCCGATTGCTCAACAAATATGTAGATGGAAATGGAGATGGATCGAGCATACGTTGAGGAGACAACCGAATGACATCGCGCGCAATGCAGGCCATCGCTCGAGTGGAATCCCAATGGGAAGCGGCGAGTTGGTCGTCAGTGTGAGGGTGACATGGAGGAGATAGTGTGAGGAAGGGATGAGGTTAAGTAGAATAAGAGACTGGACAAACTTTTTCCGTATACGGAGTGATATTGACGATTGCTAAAGTCTCAGCCATACACAAATGCCGAAACCTGACGCCCTTTGTACCATTCGGCCTCACCTTGTAGATAATCCTGAAAGACGACTCTGGTGGAGCTGCGTGGCTTGAGTTCACCATGTGCTCGAGAATTGAGCTAGCTAGTAAACTGTATTTACATGCGTGATGACAGTAAAACTAATTATTAAAAGGTAAGTGTAAAAGATGTATTAAATTGTAAGCAAAGTTTTGCTTTTGTCTTCATTCCTTTGTGTTTCCAGTGGAGCTTAGAGCTTCAAGCTTGAACCTTTGAATTCTCTTAGTAGTGATGCTTTTCTACTGGGTAGGGTTGCTAACCACTTGCCCAACTTTCTCTTTTTACCAGTTAAGCGATGTTTAGGAGGACTTTGACCAGGAATCGAACTCGGACTACATATGCAGTTGACGAGCATTCTACTACTAAATCACTCACTTACTATAATTAGATTATTGTTTTATTTATTTATTTATTTGAACGCAGAAAAACTTGGTACAATATGGCACCAAGAAAGATGCGCCACACAATATTGTGTGAGGGCTGAGATACTGCCCGGGCGCCCAGACCGAAGCAGGTGGTTTTCTTAAGGGACCACCCCCCGAGCCTTTGACTTGGAGTCTAATCCGCAAGGCAGCGGAGCAGCGTCAGGAGCTGCGTTCCCATGGTTGCCGGTGACCCATATGGGTTCATACGCCATTTGATCCGATTGAATTCTGGAGCCCATGTACCCCATGGTAACTGCTTTTAGTCTAACCGCTATCCAAACAACCTTCTGGACATGGTAGGACCTGCAGGGACATGAGTCCCAGCCAGTTTAGCTTGTTGGGTCACTGCGGCATTCAAGCCCGACCACCACGGCAAGGTAGCAGTTATCGGTCGGGAATTAGATTAGATTATTGAGGAGTAATTTTTAGAGAAAAAAACAGTAGCGATTTCTGCTGTTTTACCTAAGTCTGAAATGCATCATTTGTAAGCTTGTTTAATGGAAAATATATATCTTGTGTAGATTTGCGTGCACATACATCCAACTGACAATGTTAACTAACGGACTACCTTTGCATCTTACACATGTGCCCACCCACCCCCTCAATACAGTTTCTGATATAATTTTCATTTGCCTTTACAGGTTGTTTGAATTCTAATATTCATGGATTTATAACTGTAGAGACTGAGGAAGAAGTTATCGAAAGTAACTGTTTACACAAAATCATCTTGTTCTGACTGATTACACTATGGGGATTTTTAATTTACACTCATATCATTAACTTTATCAATTCAACCTTACAAAAGTCAATTTATACTTATAAGGCTATACAGTACTAATTATAAGTACACATTACACTGAACTAATGTAGCAAAAACACCTTTTTATCATTTTGTATTGAACTATTTTTTTTTTTTAAAAAGTAGAATGATTGAAAAACGCGCGAATTGAAGGTTTTAAATTCAGTTAAGGAGTGTATTAACAAACCACTTTAATACAGAACAGTAAAAAGGAAAATATACAATTTACACAAACAAGTCAGCAACTTGAATGTAGGATAAATACCTTTTGGTAATGATTACAGCATTTACAAACTATATATATATATATATATATATATATATATATATATATATATATATGTTAACAAGTCCCATTCTGATTACTGTTATCATTACTCTCACTGTCAACATTGGAATCAATATCGATTGGTTTAACACAACTTTGCTCTGCAACAGTAGTTTCATCAGTTGGCAGAGAGTCACATTTTTGTTCAGGCGGCGCCATAGAACAGTCATTGTCTTCATCAACAGCTGTCTGTTGCCTAGTAGGTTCTATCACATCCAAAGTAGATGGTTTCTCATCTAGAAATGGCAAAATAAATAAAGGATGACTATAGTGGAATATAACTTAATTTTATAAACTGCTTATCAGCTTGGTGGTAAATAATTTCTCTGAAGCACGGATTCGAATCCAGCCGCCGCACTTACTTCATCGTGAGCAAATTGCCTAGTATCATTGACCTACTGGTACATTAAAAAATCTATTCCGGATAACTTATTTCCCAAAAATAAACACTTACACGGTGCTAAACATCCAAAACAGCTGACTGTCTAGAGAAGTCTATACCGTGTAAGATACTAAATGCTGAATAAACAATTCACGGGTCTAAAACTTTCAAACGGCTTGTCTACAATTCTAAGAGAAGAATGCTGAAGAAAATGTTGAATGCTGTCAGAGTTTATCAAACGCTATAAGATAAAAGAGGAGTGAAGAATGCAACAAATATACATTATGTTATTTTTATTATTCTAATAGCGTAGGTGAGCCTGAAGTACCACCACCAATTGGCCTAGATGTTCCGATGCCTGTAACCAAAATAAGCGTAAACAGTGAAATAGCGCTGCAACTCGATATGATTGCTCTTAACTCTTTTACAATCCATGTTCTGTTCCAATCAGTATATTGCACAGAGCAGACACTAGTTTGTCGCAACACTATGTCTCCAGATAATCTTGAACAAAATCGCTATTATGATCATTTTGCAATAACCTAGAGACAGACAATTAAAAGCCACTTATGAATGGCAGATCAATGAAAGAAACAAAAAACAGCTATTAGATTACGCTAAATAGGATCCGTTTCTTAAACCGAGATTACAAGAAACAAATAATAAATTGATATCCTGAAACATCCCACCCAACAATCTACTTCATAATAATGAGCGAAGAAACTGTTGATTTGTCATGAGTTATGTCACTAAGATAGACTGAAGCTTTTTATTACATTAAATTTTCAACACAACTCCCTGGCTTTTTGTCTCTTGTTATATGTTACATAGAACGATTTTCCTGACTTGGGAAGTATCTCCGAAAAATGATCTATTCAGATACTACAAGCGCTGAATCATGGGTCCCTAAAATAATACTTTGAGTCTTTCTAGTTAACTCACGTTCTCTTGTGAATACTTGTCCAGTCATTGCCTACAGTTTCTTTATCGAAAGTAAGCTGACATTGTTTTTCAACAATGTATAATCTAACCAATTGCTATTTGTACTCAAAAGTACATGTGAATACAACTGCTAAAGCATTTAGTCAATCAAGTGACAGATAACATATCGTTCTTGATGTGAACATTAAAACGCCCACTTTGAAAAGAGGCAAAGACTGGTATATGGTGGGGAAAAAACTATACATCTACACCCTTGTTAAGTGAGACTTGTACTGATCTCCTCTAATTGGTTAAAACCTCCGAATGAAAATAAAATCGCAGTTGAAGTGTGTATTCACAGAAGTTGCACCATTCAGAAGCGGTGTGTAAACTACATCAGTGTCTAAGCGTTGCACACAATAGCTGAAAAATTGGGAACAGAATTCAGTCAGTGATAAAAACTAAAAATTACAGTAAGAGTCACTGATAAGTCTTCCGAAAGCAATCTTAAAATAAACCATAGTGTTCCAATTAGTGAATGAGATAGTTTTTAGTTCCTCAGAGAGCATCAGTTTACTCAAGGCTGTAAACACTAAATCAACAACGAATACAGCACATACTGTATATAAAGATATTTCATCACCTACGCTAGTGTTGCAACAAAGTAAAGTTGACAGATGGAATTATGACTGGAAAACACAATATTCGTTATTATTCAATTACTTGAGCTAAAAATATTATCTCAGTCTCCAATAACATTCACTGTTTCACACATCTCGTACTAAATGGACAAAATTGTGGGACAGTGATTCCACCGTGGGGTAAAGGATATTTGTGTTGTGTCCACATCTGTTGGTGCAATGCAACCTCCTGGATGGAGTTTGAGAAATCACCTGACTCAGTGGCTCTGGGCGTTATCAGATATGGGTGAGAACAGAAACCCACTGAAGAACACGTTGTAATCTCTTCTTTCCCTCTCTTTCTGAGAGTAACATGAAGTTTAGAACGCTCCTCAAGTGATGAGTATATTCGTCTTCTTGCATGATGCTGTCTCTCTATGGTTCTGCTTCTCTTCCATATATTGCGTCGGTGGCACAGTGGTTAGGACTCTCGCCGACCATGCACATGGTAAGGGGTTCGAGCTCCTGCCGACGCACACCTGATATCTACGGTGGGCCTGCAAAATTTGGGCTACCGATATCACATGCTGAAAATTCCATATCTGAACCAAAAAATAAGGTGTAGAATCAAGCTGTAATCAAAAAAATAAAATATTGCTTTATTGCTCTTGTGTATTGCAACTTAAGGCGCCCACACTGTACCAATTACGTGATTAAATAAGAAAATGACTACATTCGATAACTGATTACTTTATCTACCATAATATCATAGTGTACGGTTTTCGAATTAGAATCATTTGAATAAAACTAACCTGTGGCTGATATAACTGTATCTTGCGATTTTTCAGTGTCAGTTTGATCTTCATTTTTCAAATTAACAGACTTGTCTGGATTTGAATCAGTTGCTCCAATAGAATCATCTTGTTCAGTTTTTGGGCATGAATATGAAGAGAGAATTCCAGAAGAAATATGCGTTGAATTATTGACATTTGATGGACGATTAAATGTTCCCTTTTTAGCATGACCAACATCAACCATAAGAGAAGGTACCCACTTGTAAACAAGCATAGAAGTATCTTTGACAGCTACCCACTTCTTTTCCCTGAAGTTGCAAGGCGTTAAAACACATGTGTGAATATATATTATTTACCACAAATCCACTAGCAATCAATAAAGAATTCAGAAAGTAACATACAGCTTACACTTATTTTGGCAAAGCATATGATATAAATGATCAGGACTTTCTAGAAAACCGCGAAAAGAGCGGCAAGAAAGTTCTGCAAAATGGACCATATCTCTAATAATGTACTGCAATGACACAGAGGCCTGCACGATCTTATTTGGCATTTTAATTAGCGTCAATATAGACAATTCCTATTGATTTTTTCGTTCATTATATGGATGTTATACATGAATTTGTGTTTAACTACAGGAAACAGTAAGAATGTATTTCAGTTACGACCAAACATACTACTAACCGTTAGATTTAGTATGATGTTATATTCCGTAGGAAAAATGATAATTCATTGTCACTTATCAAGGCTAATTTACATTCATCTCCGTAAAAACGGCCTACTGACATAACTAAACAAAAGGCAACTTATATTCCAAATTTGAGATTTACTGTCACTTTGGCTAACCAACTGGTTAATTCAATTCCGAAGAAGCTTTTTATACTAACCAACAAGATTTACTGCTATAATTCAAATAATAGAAAGCATAACTACCTGCAATTTTTAAGAGTAAGAGGTAGCACCATTTCTTTAGAATCTAATAACAAAGAAAGGCATTGGTTTTCTTATTTCAAGTGTAACAGCTACCCAGCCTTCCGCATATGACAAAAAGGGTCTAAACAGTCTACATCAATCACTTAGCATTAATAATAGACCTGACCACTCTATTATATTGACAATCATTTGGATTTCTACATGACTACTTATGAAAATGGTTACCTTCAATCACCATAACATATTTCAATAATGCGAGTATCTCATCTAAAAACCAAATAAAATTAAATGTTAAGTCCACACAATTACTCAAACAACCTGTTATTGAAAGTAGGTAAAGATCAAAATAGTGCGTCAGCCGTTCGGCAGCAGTATGCTCAAGAACCAAGAGGTTTGTTTTCTGACCGATGTACTTTCAAACCCTCCCTAATTTACTGACCGGGGATAAACCAGGAAAAGATGGGGAGTTGGGCATGACGCTAGCAATCTCTTCCCGTAAAACAACACCTCGACTAGAACTTTAAGTCTTGACGCCCTTTGTTCTCCTCAGAATGCAGGAGACGAAAAAAGGTTTTAAGGGGTAAATAAATTAATAAATGCAAGTTTCTACTGAAACTATAACTGAGTGAGTGGTTATCTATGGTTTAAGAAGATACCGCATTTTAGCTACCAAAAGATGGATTCGTCTAATAATACGTGTATACTGTCACAGTCACTTTCGTAATCTTTGAAGGCAAGATCGGATGTTTTCTCGAGTAAATAAAAGACTGACTGTTATCAACCAGAAAACATCAGCAGGTATAAAGTAAACAAACTTCTAAGTAGAAGTATAGACGATACTCAGTGCCTTTTTAAAATGGTTATTAAAAATGCTTTGGAGTTAGAGATACAAACAAGAAAGAATATAAATCTTACCAACTTCTAACCTGTTCATGTGACTTATGAACTCTTTTCAAGTCCTCCTTTGCTCTACTGCGTGTTTCAGAACGCAAACTTCTGGAAAACATAATGATCACAAGTCGGAAATCTTTGGCTAACAAGAAGAAGATGACCGTTCAAACACTTTCGAAAGATAAGATTTTTGAAGACACAAACTTGACCATGAACTGGATGTAAGCTGAAGCGAAAAAATATATTTTTATTAATAAACTACTACTTTCGGCAGATTACAAGTCTTAATCTTCTTCATAAACCCCTTGCATCAAGAACTGAAAACAAACTTTGCTGATTATGTTGATGATGTAACAGACAAATGAATTTCTTAGGGTCTTTACTTCACATCACACGCTTTTCACTTATAGTAGAAAGTTGCAGATCATGTCAGTCATGTCAGCAAACGGATACATGGTGGGCCAAAGAAATAGTAACTGTTATTAAATATAAAAACTGTTATTTTCTCCTTGAGATTTTACCACTTTAACGCTACATTAATAATCCAATGAATAGAACTCGTAATCATGATTTTTGTTATAACCACCGAGCATTATATCCCGCTGCTCAACCATTTTTACCGAACACAGAATTATTTTGTTTGGCAAAATCCACACAAAATGATGCAGTATTATTTAGTGATGATGTTTCGAACACAACTCATTGTTCGTATCATATCATGAAGCTTACATAACTTTCACACATTGTTTACAAAATTCCATTATTTGTTATGCTTTGATTTTATCAGTAGTAATATTTTCCATATATCTGGTACCAGCATTGACGCCACAGTGCAGAAATTCTACGCTTATATTATTTTTTATCCAGGTAACTTTCGTAACCTTATAAAGGAAGAAATTTCTGCATGTTCATCAGTGATTTCGATTCTGAATTAAATCTGTTAACACCCGAAGCCACCAAGTCTGATGATCTCACGCCTACTGAGTCTCACCGTAGAAATTCGCAGAGAATTGTAGTAGTTTAAGCTGTCATATTTCATATAGCACACAAAGGTAGGGAAAAGAGAAAAACTGAAGAAAACTATAATGGGCAGAAATGTATGGGAGAAATTATAGTAACATGGAAAAGCCGAAGGACTCAATGGAGTTGACTCTGGTGATGCTTGGCTGTAAAGGGAATGCCGAGAAAATACATTACACTGATCAAGGCACTCTACTAGAACTCATGCAGCCAGGTGAGGGCTTACGGAGAGTTGTCATCCGAAGTGGTGACAACTAGTTGTATCCGTCAGGGATGTGCACTATCCCTATTTCTATTCAAATTCATCATAGATGTACTAATGGAATTAACCCTAACTCACTTCAGACACTCAGGGATTGACTTGCTACCAGGGAATAATCTCGTTGACTTAGAATATGCAGACGATATAGTCCTTCTAGGCGAGGGTACCGACAAAATGCAGAGTCTTCTGAACACCTAGAGCTGCAATCTACGAATGTTTGGCATACGATTCGCTCCTGCCAAATGTAAGATGATGTTACAGGACTGGACTACACTGACTCCTAGCTTAGAAATAGGCAGTGAAGTGGTAGAGCATGTTGGCCGCTTCACTTATTTGGGAAGTACCATCAGCCCCAACGGGTTGACCTCTGACGAAATCTCAGCACGGATACAGAAGGCTCGTTTCGCATATGCCAGTTTACACCGTCTCTGGAGTAGACGTGTTATCCGGCTATCAACCAAAGGACGTGTAGTTTTGCTCAGCAGTCCGCTCCGTCCTCCTTTATGGCTATGAGACATGGTCATTCAAAGTGGAAGACATGAAAAGGCTAGTTGTCTTTGATCATAGGTACCTGCCTTCTATCTCCCGTGTGAAGTGGTATAATAAGGTGAGCATTATTGAGATTAGGAGTCGAGTGCTAGGTAAGGAGGGGAAATCAATCAACGCGGCTGTAAAGCTACATCGACTGAGATGCTGAGGAAAAGTGTTACGTATGCCTAGTAATCGCCTTCCTCGACCGGCAATGTTAGCTGACATAGGGTCAGGCTGGAAAAGAGCTAGCGGCGGTCAAACCAAAACATGACACCAGTCAATGAAATCCACAACAGTTCGTTTAAGCCACGTAGGAAGTTGTAGACTTCCTGGTTAGGGTCCTCGGGATGGTATAAACCAATGGTTGGAAACAATCGGTGATATGGCTCAAAATCATTTTCAATGGCACAGATGCATCCACTCCTTGTGACTTATAATTTCAAGTGAAACTATATTGTTCTTCATTATTACTATTCCTTTGTGTCATATCCCTGTCTACTATCTCTATTATGCATTTCTTCTACTTTCTTCTCTTGCTTTGTGTGCTAAATGGAGTGTGGCGACTTGAACTGCCGCACATCGGTGCAAAGTTCTATGTCGAGAACAGACAGACAGATAATGGAGTTGGCAGATCACATAGAGAGAATGCATCTGCGCGACTGAGAACGATTTTGTACCATATCACCAAAGGTCTGCAGTTTATACCTCACTGCATGAATCGGACGAATAGTCAAGGATTTCACTCTTTTCCAACTTAATCCTATATCAGCTAACATTGTTTGTCGAGGAAGGCAATGACTCGGCGTGAGTAACACGTGTTTCTCCAGCTCCCCCTCCCCAAGGAGTCATGATGCACTAACAAAACTATTCATCATGCCTCACACATACCCCAGAGGGCATGGACGGCAGACGGACGACAGCAAGCATTATAATGGCCATAACTGCGCAGAATGGTACTGGCCAGGAAAAGAATGCGATCTGTGTGAAGCTGGGAAAACTATCCACGTAATTATCAAGTCCCCATTAACCACCTCGACGACTTTCATCTAAGCTTAGACTCTCAACTCAGCTTACTTGTACCACGTGTTGTCAAATATAATACTGGAAGCAACGATCTAACGTCTCAAAAAGATACAGACAGACTGGCATCGGTGATAACAAAACAAAACAATTCACTCATGAGAATTACAACAGCAATAATAACAATCGAATGAGATTAGATATTCCAAGGTACGGTTCATGAGTTTAAAAGTGTAGTAAGTTGTTACAAAACAGTTTAGTTGAGTGTTCCATTTAATTAGTGTCCCGCATTTGTTTGAGGGCTGAGATACTGCCTAGATGCATTCAACTCCTCATCTATCTTGGAAACTTTCAACAACAGGTTCCTAATTTGTTCAATTTGCCTTCTGTTGATTTTCCATTACAATCCATCAGTAGAATAAGAATGAAGTAGAATGAACACATCTCTACCTACTGCGTCTGTTTCTAATGTAGAATGGAACTAACAGAAGAAATCTATAGAATATCATTCACTACATCCTGGTGGGTGATCGAGTTAACTGCACTTCCACACTAGTGACTTAGGTGACCACCTTGTGTTAGTGCCGGGGTCTACCAATTTTATTGATTTCTGCTTTCCATTATGTTTTTCTAGTAGTTCGCTGGTGGCACAAATGGGAAATTTCAAAAAAGCTAATCAAAGTAATAGTTATTTTTGATCAGATCATTACAGTGTAATTTAGGGCTCATGATGGAACTCATACCTTTGGTAGGTAGCGAGTATGACGTCTATACGGTTTCATCCATAGTAAACTAGTTGATTTTATTAACAGTACACCTTTCCAACATTCCAGTCTATGTGGACTATTCTAGTCAATAGGATGACGTAACTAACTTTTTAAAACAACGCACCAAGATGCATCCACGCTAAACGCATTATTACAAATGGCGGGTTTTACACAAAGTCTAGTTCCTTTTATCATCACGTTTGTGGTTATCACAGCCAACACTATCAACAAAGACCGAGGGGCTAAGTCGCATGGAAACGTGACATATTAGTTTACTAACAACTCCATACTACAAATTCATATCACCTATCACTCTCTACCAATATTCTCGCATAATCACACTACTATATCAGATCCCCACCCGGAACTAAATGTTTTATGCTCTTGAGTATTTTACTACGAGTTCAACTATTTTATATATGTAGCAGTTTATTTTTAGACTCTTCCTCGTGAGCTTGTTGATGAGAGGAAATTACTGAGCTCAAAAGCATGGGAATGAATACAAAGGCCAACCTACAAACTACGTCAACCACTGTCAAAAAGAAAGAGAGTGTAAATTAACATGTAACAATAAAGTTTTAACCCAGTGAGCCTGATAACAAAGTTGAAAACAAGGTCCAGTAAAAAGTGACAAAAGAGCACTGATTACCTGCTTAACTGCTGAAGGTAAACACAAAGCAAATAAATATAAGACTGGATAAGCACAAACGGTTTGGCAAGGATCAACCCAAAGTAAGAAAAAAGTGGGTTTTAAGACTATTCATCAGGAGTCAACATCGCGCACAATACATTTGTGAATGCAAAATAATAATTAGCTAAGAGTAATATATATATGTATTACGCATACATAAATATATATATATAGGATTAACACCTGCAAATGTATGAACAAGAGAATTCCAACATTTGGTGTGAACGTTAATATATTATTATATTACCGAAAATAAAACTTTTCAATGAGTAGAAAACCATCATAAATACACTTCTCATTAAATAAAAGTAGCACCTAATCATAAAATTGAAACTCCATTAATAATTTATTGGGTGTGAGAAAGAAGATCTACTTGAAGAGTTCTGAGGAGTTAGGTGAAATGGTACGAAAAGTCTTCCTAGATTACCTTTGTTGCGCTGACCTTGAGGCGACGGTCACCTTTGCACACACCGCTTTTCAAATCCTCAATTTCAAAATACTTAGATTCAAATTCCATTTGGCAGCAGGAGGCTTCTAGCCCGCGTTAATGCTTTTTTCAATGAGTTAGTAAGTTCTGTGCAGGGATACTCCTGAACACTCGTCTAATGCCCAGTGAGATTTTCCGACCTGGTAAAAAGGGATAAGATGGATTACATTTATTTTTTTTTATTTTGATTACAGCTTGATTCCACACCATATTTTCAGTACAAGTATGAAATTTTGAGCATGGATATCGGTAGCCCAAATTTACAGGCCGACCATAGATATCGGGTGTGCGCCGGCAGGGGATCGGACCCCGGACCATGTGCATGGTCGGCGAGAGCCCTAACCACTGTGCCACCGACGCATGTCCGTACTAATTTCCTGATACTTATAGTATCATGATTCCATCTTCTCCCTACTTAAGATATAACTAGGGGAACATATTTTGTCTGTTGAAGTAACCATTGTATGAAAACCAGCCATACTATTGGCCGTCCTTCAGACCATGCCGAAGAATGTTGAGTGGAGTTTTTAGACTACGTATGCTATTGACTCATGTTTCCTAGGTTAGACCTCACCACAAAATCAGTTCGTTTAACTGCCTTGCTGCATAAACATACTATGTAGGACGGTATTGTCTTTTGATTATTCTCCCAAGTTTGAGTAACATTTAAATTAACGGAAATAAAAAACTATCTGAGAGGTGGTGCTGAAATATAAATTTTCTTGATGCAAGTACACGGTATGACCTTGCTTCTCCAAGTTGTATTTTTCGGGACAGCAGTATAGACATCATTAACCGTTCACCTTTCTTTTACATATCCCCTACATTCAGATCTTCAGGTTTAACTTTTTTCCTAAAACCTCTTCTTACGATTACCTCAAATATTCGGTGGCTAAAATCATTACCTTACCGAAAGATAGCTCAACTACTGCTTGGGAGACGGTGGTTATTATTATTAAAATAATAAACCACGTGCATATTGAAGAGTGTTCATATTAAATTACTAATCCTTATTAGCTGTTCCACCTATTCTCTGTCACTTTACTACCGTCGCCTTCCATCTCTAAGAACACTGTTTTGAATCAGGGCACTGAGGCAGTCCTCTCATTAGAACTATTCATACGCTGTGCTAAAATCACTGAAACCACACTATTCTGATATCCAGTTTATCGTGTGTGTCCGATAAACACCGGAAAATCAATTCGAAATTGGTCCCGCATATATGCTAGCATCACGTAAAGTATTGTACTTACCGAATATTGTGAATTTGTTGAACCTTTCAAACTCCATATGGAGTACTTCAATCCCCACTTTTACTACATCAAGACTAGAAATATAAGTGTTACTGTCACGATAACCAGGACCCACAGAGAGTTATGGTAATCCTGTCAGCAAACTAATATTTCAAACTCCAGATGCCTTTGGGTAGAGATTGTAGCCCTAAAAGACGAGAAAATGGGACCCTTATAGCCAGCAGGTTTCACAAAAAGCATTGTACAGTTCCAATAATCTTTGTTGCAGTAATCTAAAGATGGTGAGAAGATTGTATAATCACAATGTCCGTATCCGCATTTGCAGAAGTTGTGTGCATAGTTGTCGTCAGAGTGTATATCAGACTTGTAGAATATGGTTAAGGTCTCTCAGCAGAACTAAAAGAAGCGCTGCAATAGTGCCTATTTCCTCAAAGTCAATAGCCACAGCAGCAATCACTGACTATTGGACGCTGACCCTAACTGTTTGAGTCGACCTGTTCAGTTGAAGGCTTACGGTCAAGCATCCATGCCATTTGGCACGCCGTCATGATACGTTCGTTTGTTCGTGTACGATCCCTAGTAAGTTAGGCAATCATCTCGCACTCCGATTTGGTCCCAAAATATATGTCGTAATTTGAGTGATCAATTTTGGTGTTTTGCTTTGCCTTTGGACTGAGCGGAACGAATACTATGGAAGTCGTGGGTATTAGATTTTGCGCTGGTACTAATCTTGCTATTCGTGAGCGTCAACACCCCTAGTCTCTAAGATTTTATGAAAAATTTAAAGATGTTTCCGGGTCAGCTATCCTACTTGATGTTAACTAATTAACGAAACGACCTAGGAATTTTCAAAATCTACAACTTAGAAGCTCCGGCACACAGCAATGCAACAGCAGCCAGGGTTTCCTGAATACTGCAGTCCCTCAACTGCCTTATGAGTGTCTAGATGAAGATATGTTCAAAGTACGCTGCCAAACGTTTACTCAACTTCTTCTTGCAGAGACAGTATTCGCCTAAAATCTATCCTCTAAGGAGGCATAAATCATATAAATTGTGCATATGTTGATACTAAATTAGTCTAGGTTTCACACTGCATATAATGATAAACTCGAAGGTGTGAAGCTGTTCTCGTTTCCACACAGCGGGAAACAGTGAATTACTTCAGGTAATTACATGTTAAATGGGTACCAAAGTCTCTAATCATCACATCTCTTCAGGATATCCCTGAGAGATCGCTACAGAAATTTTCTTTAGTCACAGTCAAATAGGATACCAGTGAAATTCAAATTCCCATATGGGATGGCTAGTGAACTGAACTCAGTGATAAATCGAGCGGTACTGTTTCTATCTTTGGAAAAGCCAAGTCCCAATGAAGAAAATGACTTCGAAGACTGACAGACTGTCCTTGACCCATTACACTTTACCGTTGAAGACCATATATGGGTGTTTGGTGAGAGATATTCATGAGACTTTCCACTGGCATCTAAATAGATCTATGGCAAAGATTAAACAAATCAGATTGACTTAGCCAAGATTTGTCTAATCTGCTGATACTCTGTATTCTGAGTTTGTTTTCAAAGGTTGGCATCCCACCAGATTCGGATGCCATTATGCACTCATCTTTTGTGCTGTTAAAACATCCTCAGAACCTGTAGCTCAGCCATAATAGGCTGATAAGTCATAAAACTCTACCCTAAATGATCTCAACCTTTTTGTTCAAAACTTACAGGGCACATCTCAAAACATGTTTTATCTCAACTCACAATCATGTTTGTACCGATTAAGTGGGCAGAGTGCACAAAGTGGCGTTAGTATATTGTATTACACCAGACATACAACCAGTATCCTAAAGATGCATCAGGTTACTTGTCTCAAACGAAGAATTTTAAAAACTATGTGACGGAGAGCGAACTAATATAATTGCCAGTAAAAGTCTTTTGAGACAACAATGGTCTTTTAGAAACGGACTTTTGTATCAGAAAGGAAATATAATCCTACTCAGATGTTTCTTGGTTATGTCTGAGTGGTCACATTACACCGTGTTGTAGAGGCTCCATAATTTCATTCGATATAAAAATATTCTGTTGAAATCGACAGATTTATAGTGTCAGGTTTGTAGTCATTGCAATATACGAGGTCAACACTCTATTCCGAACAAATTTATGGAGTTCTGCACTTACACCTACGAACCTCACACTTACAAAACATTTGAGCGTTGATCAAGAAATAACTAACAAAAATACAACTTACTTTTCTATAGTTTGGTTTGTAAGGATTAGTTATCTTTTATGAGTTGATCACGGACTGATATCAGTTAGAGAACCATTGAAAACCAGAGAGTACTGGACAGCTGCTGTTTCATCCTAGTTTGGGAATCATCGGCAGTACGCACCCACTGGGATTCGAACCCAGGACCTTCCGGATGTCCCACCAACGACAGTGGTTGGAGTTGCGCTAAATCACGAATTGGTAGAAGTTAGTATTCATGAGCCATTGGATCGGGTCCCAGTGGCTGAATGGTATACGAGCTTGCCTTGTAACCGGAAGGTCCTGGGTTCGAATTCCAGTGGGTGCGTACTGCCGATAATTCCCAAACTAGGATGAAACAGCAGCTGTCCAGTACTCCCTGGTTTTCAATGGTTCTCTAACTGATATCAGTCCGTGATCAACTCGTAATACGACTTACTTTTCGAATGGATGTACTCCCAAGATGTTGAGTGTTCTATTGCATGAGCTGTTCCGAGAAGGTAAAAGTGACTTTCTCATCTCAACTGACAGAAAAAAAATGCAAATTTCCCGTTATATCTGGTACTTGTGACTTAACAAGTCATGTAGTCAACGTAGACTATGGTTGTTATAATGGTTATTCTGTCAGTGACACGTATTTCAAAGGAGACATTGGATAGATCATAGGGATGCATCGACATCTGTAGGTGGTCATACTCATGCGGTAAGTCATAGTTTGCTGAGGAATAAGCATCAGAATGACATTGTTCATGGGCATTTATTGTTCGGTTCAAACATATTTGCAAGCTACATTTGGGGTAACAAGTATACTTTTCGGGCAAATGGAAAAGTGAAGAAACTATGATTAGTAATGTCAACATATGAAGAAGGTGGTGTGCGAGAGGTATGCGGGAAGAAATTTATTCATTAATGATAATACCTATTCTCAATGTGATGTACTCGAAGAACTTCAGTTGAAAATCTACAGTTAATGAAGGTGACTTTAGTAATATTATTTTAAAGCTTAGATACACCCAAATGACACAATGACACAAAAACGTCGACAGATAGTTTTCGCATAGAACTTGGTTTTATTTGGTCAATATTATTTGTGCAATCCGAAATCGCATCATATGCCAGTAATATTTACATTATGCGACACAGATATTCAACACGGTAGATTAAACAGGAATAGCGAAATTTCAGTATTATGGAAAACCCTCAACTCTTGCAAATATAAGGGCTACCATAAGCCTGTTAAGGTGTCTTTTCAGTGAATGAGACATTCAAGCGTGGAACTATTGTTCATATACCATGAAGTACAAAATCAATCAACAAATTTGACAGGACAACTGCTTCAGCGAAGCACAATCTGTAAGATCCTTCTTGGAAACATGAAATTGATTCACAGATTTAAAAAC